TGCAGATTTCTTAGAAGGTAAACATAAGAAATAGTCACAGAAAACACCCACCGTTTTTGTATCTTCTGAAAACTCAGTTGAAGACATTGTCCATTCTGTTTCTCTTTTGATAATCTACGGATTGTAGCAGAAGGCGACTCATTTTGGTGTCTTTTAGGATCGATGTGATAAACTTCACTCAGAAGTTAGCATGATGAAAAAGATTATGTTTCCTCATGAGCTGATATTGCAGACTTTTTTTCAGACAATAAGAGTGATGTAATCCACTGTGTTTCCCTTTTTGCTTTGACTGTCAGGAAGCCCAGACTTAAATTTAATATTCATCTGCAAAATTATTCTTATCTCCAGGTGCTGGTCTTCCCCTTCCTCTGTATGGTTACTCATCTCCCCTTTCATCTTTACATTAACTGCGTCACTTATTTGTACATATAATTTCAACTACATCAGAGTTTTTAAAGAGCTAACAAAGTATAGCAAACAGCAAAACCAACCAACAAATCAGTAATGTGACCAAGTTTACTCAGAACTTGATCTCACTTCCTTGATGTCCCCAGACTACCAGGAGAGACTCACTCATAGACTAGCAGACGTGCTACTATTAGAAGACTGTTCAATTATTAAATTATAAGAATAAAAGTTTTAAGATGGAAGAGTCATGGAAGGCTTCCTGGAGGAGGCAGTACTTCAACTTTGAGGATTTGGAGTTAGTTTCAGGATTTCATTTTATTGGACCAACTGTATGGTTTAGTTGGACTAAGAAAGCACCAGGACAAGTACTTGAGATTTTTTTCTGGTTGGCACTTTCTTGGGAGCAGGTTCTGAATGTCTCTTAGTGGCCAGAGGCATGCTTTCTAAGGAGCAACTAACTGAATGTGTTGGGGCTAGTCCCCAGTAAAATCCTGAAGTAGGTGGGATGGTCCGAGTGATATTGGCATTTTAGATGGGATAATTCTTCACTGGGACTATTTTACCTGCTGCAGTATGTTTAGCATCCTGGTTCATGCTCACCAAATGCCAACAGCATTCCCCAGTCATTGGGACAACCCCAAATACCTACATGCTTTCCTCACGCCCCTTGGGAGAAAGGTTTTCTGTCATCCAGGTGAGACATATCACACCCTCAAATACCCAAGATTCTCCTCTCTAACTTGCCATCCATGACTAGGATTTTCAGATTTAGCAAATAAAATATAGACCATCCAGTTAAATTTTATTTTTTTAAAGATTTATTTATTTTTATACAAGAACCAGGGTACAGGCCAGATGTGCGGGAGTGTGAGAGGATTCACCAGAGACAGAGCGGGGAACAGAACAGGCAGACTGACAAAATACACTGCTGGGGGGAGCAGCGGGCGAGACAGGAGAGGTCTGCTTTACCATGTGGGATTCTCGCCAGCTGGCCGGGATTGAACCCACGCTGCAGAGGCTGCAGACAGCTTTACAGTGCAGTGCTCAACCGCCTGCGCCACCAGGGAGGCCCTAAATTTTAATTTCAGATAAGCAACAAATAAGTTTAATAGAAGTGTGTCCCAAATATTGTATTATTCATCATCTATCTGAAATTCAAAGTTACCTACAAGTCTTTATTTTATCTGGAAGCTTACCCACAACCTGTTATGACCACATGCAGACATACCTCCCCAAAATTTGTGTGCTGAATTCTCCTCTACTTCTTCCCTGGAGTTTCTTCTGTTCTGTATTTAATTCTCAAGACCATTCTCTGGGCTGGCAAATACTTTTAGTCAGACAAATTCTTCTTAATATGTCGGCTAGCTACCCCAGCCAGATAGAATTTTATATTAACTAGGTTAGAGCACACTCCAATCTCCAGAAGTTGAATGGTGGTGGGAGGACAGATGGGGAAATAGAACACATTCTTTGGGTTTATAGCTGATGCCATGGGACCCTCAAATTTCAATGATTCTCAACTTTGCCTACATAATGGGAGCATTAAACACCACTGATCTCATATCCTACCCTCAGAGACTCTGAGTGAGTTATTTTAGGGTGAAACCTGGGCAGGGGAATTTTTGAAAGCCCTGCCTTTCCAGGATGATTCTAGTGTGCAGCTGTGGTTGAGAATCACTCCTCTACTTCCTGAGAAAGTGAGAGGGAAGAGAGCAAGATAGAGGGAGAGAAAGAGAGAATAAGACTTGGTTCCAGGTCTTCTGCTTGGCATTGGGAATTGAGGGGATTTGGAAGAATCAAGAGGCAAACACATTCCATTCAAACAGGGGGAAAAATCCAAGACAGTAACATACTCTGAATATGTACCCTTTCTAGCAAAACAGATGTGAAAAAGAACTGAAGAACCCAGAGAGTGCTGCATTCTGGGCCAGACAGTGTCCTTAGAGATGACCCAGCTTACAAAAATGTCCCCAAGACAGAGTGCCATTTTTCTTTATTATTCAGTGATTTGAACCAATACCAGCCTGAGGTTCCGAAGCCAGGTTGCTCACACACATGGCCTTGCTGGTGTTGTCTGAGGAGCAAGCTTCTGATGTCACCACAGGCATCCCAGTGAAGGAGCCTCCCTTCTTGGCTTGGCATGGGCTGTGAGCCCAGGATGTCAGCCCCTGTGTGCCCAGGGTGTCAGCCCCTGTGCCATCAGACAAGTAGACCAACAAAGACACAGCTCCAGCCTCTACCAAGAGGTGCTTGCCTCTGGCAGGAAGCTGCTTCTGCAGAATTAAAAACCATCAGAGTTGATCAAAGGAAGTGCAGGGTAGGCTGGCGGGCGGGCCAGATCCTAATCTCTGCTTGCTGGCCTCACACATCACTGCACATGAGTCACCCGCTGAGCTCAGCGGACATGCTGTTTGGATTAGGCTTTTACAGGCACGATTTGCCAAGCTCGCCTTTGCCGGCTCTGCTTGCTGCACAGAGCAGCCGAGAGGCGAGGGAGGAAGGTGGGATTATGGGTAGATGGTTGCTCAAGTGCTAGGGAGGTGGTGGTTTTCTCCCCAGGTACACAGGATTGTGGCACTAAGGAGTGGCTGTGAGTCCTTCTGTCCCCAGCCCATCTTCTCAGCTCAGTTCCATGTTACTACCAGGAGGAATGGAGCCCATACCAGGCCCACACATCCTTCCTCTCCCTCTCTTGCCAACTTTCCAATTAAGATGTCCTATGGCAGGACACATGCTCAACCATTGCTCTCAACGAGCAGGAATTCCTTTTTGCAAACACAGGCAACACTTCACCACTCAGGCATCTTGCTCAAAAGCAGTGGAGTCCAGCAAAAAAAGAAAAAAAAAAGGAAAAAAAAAAGAGGGAGGGAAGTCAGAAAATAAAAATTCCTAAATTAAGAGCCAACCCATAAAAGCAGGGCTTCCCCTAGTGCCTGGCTGGTGTGACATCACCATGAATTACTCAATGAAAATGGTGTCAGAGTAGCAGCTCCGTGCTATGTGGAAAATGTCCTCAAGAAACCGAACTCTGCAAAAAATAAGTATGGGTAGAAAAATCTGACCCTTCACTTTGGGCTTTTTGAGTTGCCTCCAAAAGGGCTGATTTCCTGGGCACAGGGTAGGGGGAGATTCCCTTCTAAGCAGCACCTAGCACGGTCTTGGTGCTTGGGAGGAGTAGTAGTAGACACAACCCAGTGGTTTGTTTTGCTTCCTTCTCTGGAAGCAATGGTAGGAACAAGATCAAAATCCTTTGTTTCAGATTCTGCCAAGTTTTGCTTCTGTGCATGGTAACTTGGGAAGAAGCAGCCCCCATTACTTTGTAAGCCAAGGATTCTTGGCTTGTCGTCTCTGCTGGGATTCTCTTTAGAATATTTTAGACTCTCATTTATTAAAGGCATCTAAATGGAGGTGGCAGTCTTTGACACTTTTAAAATAAACATTGTCATCAATATCTACACTGCTCTTGACTCAAATCACACATATCTAAATTTACAGTTGGTCAATTAGCTGCAATTTAAAAAGTATTTCTTGCTCCTGGCTTCAGAATTCTTGTCACCTATCAATCATTCTCAGGGAGGTCAAATTTCCTCATGAAACCTGTTTTTTTCCCCATACTTTCTCCTTTATTGTTTTCATTTTAAAATGGAAATGGATGGTGCCAGCCTGGAGAGCCTTCCAGTTACTAAAGCACAGCATGGCAGTATAGAAGAATGGCTAGGGTCTGGCTCACAGGCGAAGCTGTGTTTGAGCCCTGGCTCTGCCACCAATTTACTCTTCTTTTCCTAATCTCTCATAGCCTCAATTTCCTCATCTGCAAAATGTGGATAAAAGTAGTCCTAACCTCCTTGGTGAGGACTAAATGAGCTGATGCAAGAAAAACAGTAAATTCTCTGGTACCCCCCCCCATCCCATAATCAGTGCATTATCATTTATATTACAGTCATTACTTTGTAACCAGCATTATATAGCTAATGAGGCAAGTTCATAGGAATCTGCAGTTAACAATTCTTCTGAAATTCTCCAGTGCCTAGAGAGTTAATATTTGCCCTAATCAGAAGTATTTGCTTGATGGTGCATTCTTTGTTAGAAAAAGACTGAAAGAGAGTAAGAAGAGAGGATCACTTCCCAGTGATTAAAAAGAGGTATTTGCCCTTGGGGGCTCCCTTCTATAATTAGAAGTCTCCTAACTCTTGAGGGCTTGATATGGATGGGGGACAGAAGGATTCACTTCCTAGTGGAGACTGTCAAGAATTTGATGTGGCTCAATGTATCAACAAAGCACATTTATCAAATTTCTTCTAGTTCTCTGAGTAGCAGGGGAGGATGGTAATAAGTAGAGATCTTTCCATCTAGAAAATGCATAGTGATGGGCATCATTTCTGGTACACACGTAGGGCCTGGGTACAGTCTATAGTTGGGGGCTGAGGAAGAGGAAATTGGAGCTGCTTTGTATACAAAAGTAAAGACTTGTTTTTATTGAGTTGGGCAGAATATGTTGCCTTTAGGACCATTCTCCCCTCCTTAATATGAATTTAGACCAAGATGGTTGTCTTTGTGTGTGTGTGGTTGTGTGACCTAAAGCTTACTTGCAGATCAGAAGACCACAAGAAGAATAAGGAGGGGCATCTTGATCTCACACTGGCAGAAGGTCCCTGAAGAGATGAAAAATTGAAGAAATGAAGCTCATCGGGGACTACTCTGGGAATCATCTAGCCACATGGCATGACTCTGAAGTGAGTAACTCAGGCTTTGAGAAATGTGTTGCTCTGAATTACCTGCATGTTACAAGTTATCCTAGAGGGTATAGGTTAGGTGGACCCTGTTGGGTCTGTGATCATGAAGGGTGGGGATCCCATGAAAATATAAGCACGGTAAGCTTATATTATTGTCTTTTGTGTTCATTGCCTTATTCCCAGGCAGTGGACTAGTGCCTGAGACATAGTAGGTACTCAGTAAATATTTGACGAATGAGTGACTTTTTCCATGGAGAAGAGAAGGTTGGGTGGTGCTCACAGAGAAAACCTAGGAATGAGGTGTGCCCAGGCAGGTACCCATCTGAGGCATCTTCTTTCTTCCACTGGGCTCTGTAACAGTTATATTTAACATCAATGGTCCCCCATTTGACTTAACCCTAAACCTTGAATGCCATGGCTTCCACATATGTGTTAGAGGTATAGAATTAAGGGGCCAGGGAACAAGGGCAAATGTGTCCTTACATCATCCCCTGTATTCACTTCCTGCTGCTGATGTAACAAATTGCCACAAACTTAATGAGTTAAAATACCACGAGTTTATTAACTCACTGGTCTGGAGGGCAGACAACCCAAGTCAAAGCATAAGCTGGGCCACTACGTCTTGGAGGCCTGAGGGGAGAATCTGGTTTTTTTGCCTTTTTTAGCTTCTACAGACTGTCTGCATTCCTTGGACTCCTCCTCACATCCCTCTGACCTCTGCTTCCATCATCATATCTCCTTCTCTGACTCTTGCTCTCCTGCCTCCCTCTTTCCTTTACCCTGTGATTATATCATGGTTATCAGAATAATCCAGGGTAATCTCCCCACCTCAGGGTCCTTAACTTAATCACACATGCAAAGTCCTTTTGCCTTGTAAGATGACACATTCACAGGCAGGAGTGCAGACCTTCTTGGAGGCCATTACTCTGCCCACTGCACCCCTGAGGCCAACATCAATGTCACACTGAGGGGAGATGGTAGCCCCACAGCACAAGCCCGGACCCACACTGCGGTGAGTAGAGAGCCTGGCCGAGAGTGGAGTTCAGGAGCAGGTGCAGGTGCAGGCTGCAGCATGGATTGGTCTTGGAGGTGAGAAGCCAAATTCATGTCAGCAAATACACTGGAGGAAAGTGATTCTTGGTGATAAAGGCAAAAAAGATAGATTCTGCTATGATGACTACAGGCCGGCAGCAGACACTCGGGTTACAGTTCTTTTCCAGATGCGGGAAGGGGGGCAGTTAAGAATTTAGAGATTTTGTAAAGCACAATGCCTGGTTTAAGGCAGGTGTACAGTTCAATAAGAGGCATCTATTGTTAATACCAGAAATGAGAGGGGCTGGCTAGAGGGTGGGGGCTTCCAAAGCCCCAGCTGCCTAGGGACGCAGGTCATACACAGCTCTACATCCCCGACCCTGGGGGAAACAGAAAGAAGACCTGTCAAAAGTGAGTAGGTCTGAGGCAGGTGTGCAGAAGTAGAGTTTCAAATGCACTTTATCTTAACTTCTTCCCACACAAGCTAGGAGGAAGCATCTGGCCGGTTCTTTAATGAAACTTGGAACTTACTGCTACAGTCAAGAAGGAAATATTTTTGTGGTTTTTCTGTGGGGGAAAAAAGTAATAAATCTTTCTGTTGTTGAAGGAACACCTTTCAGTGGTGTAGCTCTGAGAGTGATGTAGTATTCTTAAAGTGTACGTGCTTGAAAGTTTGTTAGAACCAGGGCCCTAGGAAGCTTCACCTATGCCCTGGAGGATAGGAACAAAGTGCTGAACATAGTTACGAGCTAGTGATCACAAAGCTCTACAGTAGTCACAGAGAATATAGATTTAAGAACTAGACATTCCTATCAGAATAACTAGGTTGTCAGGGTGAGTGGTGGCTCTGAAAAGTTCATCTTTCTCTCCCTCCTGGACTTCCTGTGGACCCTACCTCAGCAAAAAAGCAACAGTAATCAGTGCCTATTCTGATGGATCATGTGAGGTAGACGAAGAGAGGCTGTTGTTCTCCAGGAGACCACTCATTCTGCACAAATGTGCTGAACACTTCCTGTATGCCTGGCACTGTTGTAGGTTTAAGGGATATGACAGTGACCAAAACAGACAGCACATAATAAATATGTGTCAAGTTGTGATGATGGGGATCAAGACAAGCAAGGCAGAATAAAGGGCTTGGGGTAGCAAGTGGGTATGTGCTATCTGATGGGTGGCGGGGGCCAGGGAAGGCCTCCCTGATAATAGGCTGCTTATTTAGAGACCTGAAGGAAATGAAGGGAGCCAAGGGGCAAGCGCCATCTGAAAGGTGGTGCTGGCAGAGGGAACATCTATCAGCGCTTATGAAAACACCTTTTTTAACAGGCACTGTGTACGGTGTTAGCTCAGGCTACAATATCCATCCCTCTCCCAGGCACAACTGCGCTCCTAACAGCTTCTTTGTATAGCATGTTCCCACACTTGGCTTGGACCCAAAGAGGGCATCCCACCCAGCCTGGGCCAGTCAGTATCCAAGATAGAAGCTGTGGGAGCAACCTTGCATAGTGGTGAGAATCTGGACGAAGACGATAAAAAGGCAAATTGACAGTATGCTAGGCCTGTCTCTGGGGGCTGACCTGGGGTTTTGAGTATAGGAGACTGGAGCTGATACCTGGCCATAGGCCCAGAGCCTTTGTGGGATCTTCCTGACTGATACTGGGTTTATCAGCCTCCTTGAGGCAAAGACACACTCCAAGACTATCCTTGTGCCATCCCCACCTTTACTGGGGTAAGTCAAGCCAATGCAGCTACCCTACCTAAATCTCCTGAGCAAAGATACATAGATTAGGTGTAGAGATTGCAAAGAAAGAGTACACAGCAAACAGAAATGTTTATCCTGAGATTGCTTTTGCTTGAAGCAACACTTCTCTAGGCAAACACGCCTGATGAGTAGCAATGTAAATTGGGTTTTTCAAAACTCTTTTGCTAATGGTGTCTTTTTAAAGGCACAAGAAATGTGGGTGTTTCTCTCTGGACATGAAACGTCAAGTGGTAGGTGTAAGGCAGTTGTGGTTTTTTTTTTTTTTTAAGCACAGTTTTTAGATGAGGAAGCAATGCCCTTTTAATACCCTGAATATCCAGGGAGGAATGGAGCAAGTCAGGCTCTGGCATGCCTCTTGTTCTCAGCTCTGCCAGCTCCTGGACCGCAGCCTTTCCACTGCTTACCTTGAGTTGGCTGAGCAGTTTGCTTCATGAGTAAAATGCAAATAGTAATGTTCTTAAGGCGAGGGCACTTCTTTCTCCGGTGGAGTTTGTGAATTCTTAAGGTGTTTTTCTGTTGAGATGAAATTTTCTGAAATAAACTGCGTAATGTTACTGTGCTATCTTGCACAAATACTAAATGGTAAACAGATATCAGTAGTTATTGAATAAATACTATTGTCTATAGAGATAATGTCAAAAAAGAAAGTCCTTTGGTGTTAGAGATGCATGTGGAAGCATTTTTTGAGTGAAATGACACGTGTCTATGACTTGCTATTAAAAATTCCAGTTAAAAAGAAATGTGCTTTTTTGTGGGGAGATGGGTGTGGGGCCGTGGTAATAAAACTGGGTGTAGGGACATGGAGGTTCCATATTCTATTCTCTCTCATTTCATGTGTGTGGAATTTTTCATGATAAGAAGTTAAAGGATACAGAAGAAAGAAAAAAAAAACTGTTAGAGTCTGACCCTTTTCCCTCTTGACTGTTGTTACATAACATCAGCAGGGATCTTAATAAGGGGGGAATTTGATCATGGGAGTTATTCCTAGTATGACTTCAATGAAGAGAAAAGTTTGATGGATTATCTCTGGAGACTGGAGCAGTCAGGGTTTCCAAGAAAAGTGATGTTGAAATGAATAATGAAGATTCCCTGCTCAGGGATGCAGCCCACGAGGCTCTTGTTTAATGTTCTGGGAAATAGTTGAAGGGGACTGTGTTGCTGGTGGAGCTCAGCACTTACTTATGCAATGTAGGAAAGACCCACATACTCCCTGCAGTTTGACTCAGTGCCCTGAGGACATGGTAGTGGAATTTACTTTTATTTTATAGGTAGGGCTGTCCTGCATCCTGGTTCTTTGGACAGGATAGTCTCAAGAGCCTTGGTCTCTTGCAGGGAGACACTGTAAAGGGAGATGTGCAGTGCAGCAAAGAGGCAGCGTGCAGCAGGCATTCTCATACTATTAATACTAAGCCCAGAAAGGAAGACTGGAATGCAACATGGGAAGTTCTCTCATCTCAGCCCCCAGTCACTGGGCCTTCTGGGCGGGGTGGAAATCGGCCTCTGGGTGACCACACCCAGCTCCCTATCCACTCTGGGCAGAGACTTTACATCCTCAACAGCTGCTGTCTGTGTTTGGCTTTCAACTCTGCGGCCTTGACCCAGCTCCCAGAGAGCAGTTTGCAGGGGACAACTGTGACATTGGCGTTCTGATCATATCTGACCTACATCCCCTCCCCACTGCCCTGCTGCCACACACATTGCATGCTGCGTGCCTTTATTTCTTTTCCAAGACTAGATTTATCTCAGGAGGTGTGTCCTTGATTTGCTCCATGGTTTTGTTTGGGAATTTCTAAGACTTATGTCAATATAGGAGAGGAATTGGTTTGTTTTTTAAGCGCACTTTAGTGGAATAAAAAATAACGAGATGGAGATACATTCATCTATATTGCTTAGACTACTCTGTTATGAGGATCTCAGTCACGCTTTAGGAAGTGTCTTGGTCCTTCTCTGCCATAATTATTTTTACAAATCAAGATATGACATGGGCTGTGAACTTCTGTGACACTGCTTCTTTACGGCTCTTTCATCCTGTTACAATCATTCAAAGCCTACACTGTGGTAATAGCACTCCTGGAAATTTCTACAAAGGAAATAATCCAAAAGAAGAGGAGGGGAATCTTTATGTGAATGTAAATGTTTATAGGAGAATCACTTCTAATAGTGAAATCTGGAAACAATTTATACAGCATCAGGGGGATGATTAAGCAAATTA